TTGGTATGTTAATTGCATACCCATAAGGGAGAGCGTTTTAAATATCCTTGCAATGAAAATAACGAATTGAGATTTGAACCCGAAAATTCTGACTTCGCGAACGAGCGTCTTAACTGCTTCGTTATAATTGGAATTGTTTTCACCACAAGTACCAAATTTTTTAACACATAACAACTGATTTCGAATATAGTCCTCTCAAGATAACCAGAATTACTGTTCCTCAGTTTCAGCCTTCAACATTCAGGGTTGTCATTTCAACCATAAAAGTGATCCCACCGGTTTGGAGATGCCGGGGATCGAACCCGGGGCCTCTCGCATGCGAAGCGAGCGCTCTACCACTGAGCTACATCCCCACGGCGCGACGGCGTTGCTCTCTCCCCTTCACACATTACATTCCGCTCATGATATGTTCCTTTTGTTAACAGTGAGTGGTATCAGTGAAAATGCGGTGGGCAGATAAGAAAATTCGCCTTTAGGCCTATCGGCTCACAAACCCGAGTGGCGTGCATGGGTGACACGCATGGCACCAATGAACTACTGGCGCCTTCACACCCGCCTAAAACGGCTTTGTTAAGTGTTATACTCCCCCTTTCCACCCCTTCACCCTCCTACCGACCCCTAAACCCACTATCATCTCTCAATCCTCGCCTAACTATACCCCACCAGCACCCATTAATTCCTCACGTTCCACCCCACATTCTACCTCCACACCTGCATTTACCAGTTCAAGGTCGGTACGCTGTCGCACCTCCTCCACAAAAGCTCATGAGCGACACAGAGTCTGAGGTGGTAATTGTATAGGTACTCCCAAGTCAGTGTGGCCGAGCGGTCTAAGGCGCCAGACTCAAGCGAGAGCTTTCTGGGAATTCTGGTCCTCGAATGAGGGCGTGGGTTCGAATCCCACCGCTGACATCCACTTTACCTCCTTACTTCAACATTACCGACTGCTATTTTCACAGTTAGACACCGGCTTCCAATACAAATCACGAATTTCAACTTTACTTACTTATAAATACGATTTTAACTTAAATTTCTCAAGATATATGTCCAAACTGTTCTGATCATTTCCTTAAAATTAGTTAAGCATAAAGCTTAATTGTCAAAATTTCATACATTTATTGCGATATAAACAAGCAGGCACACTTAAGGCTAACCGACATCTCCTCTACGCGATTATATTTACCCCTTAAGAAGAAACATTTCGCTGTGTTTTCTATAGTGAAAGAGCAAATATCGTTCATCGGGGATTTGTGTCGGTAAATGGATGAAAGTTAAGTGATTTTAGCATCCCTAAATCAGAAAGAGGGAGGCTGAGAGAGAGAAACATTGCTTTAATTATTCTACCAAAGGTTTTCTCTGATTTCGATTTAGTACTCAAAGTGCATTCGTATATGGCATGCAATCATACTAAACAACAATAAATTTTAAGGCAGTTGGCATTGAACAAGCACTCAATGCATAAAGCAAAGGTGACATATGGACCTGATCGAACAATTAGGTCTCAAATATAACTTTTAATTGTTAATATGTAATTAGTGATTTGGTAAAAACTGGGGCTATCAAAAGTTCAGAGCAGAATTCAATTTGCAAGGACTTATACATAGGCGATTAGTTGAGTTAATCTATTTTTAGGACTTCTATCCCCTTGAAATGTTATTCTTCAGTGTATTTGACCTCGAAGACACGATATTGAAGTGCGCACTACTACAAAGAAACCTCAACCTCCCCTGTAGAAGAGTCATGCATCTGCTTCCTTGGCAACTTGATGTGTTCTGTTTCGTGTCCAAGACCCCCATTTACTCTCTCACTCTCTCTCCCTCTCTCTCTCTCTCTCCAATTTCTAACTGCACTTCAGCATATTAACCTCTAGTACCATTCGACCACTTCAATCTCCTTACATATTTCAATGATATGATGTGGAATTTCCATTGATGAATATTCTCTTGACAGCTTAAGACGATGCAGCATCACTAATGAAGCCTATTTTTTTCCATGAAAGCACCGACTGACTTGAGGCGTCCAATGTCAGTACCTCGAAATCTAGAAGTCATATGCACCGACAAGCACGCAGATACTGGTAAAAGCCAAACCACTAATAAATCACATGATACATGAGTCATTCAATCTTTTGTTTCATTAGCGCTCAAAATGTGACCTGATACTGTGACCCTATTCAAGACATTTATTCTACTCTTACATAGCAGTCCATTATTCATTGCCGCGGCTTCTAGAAAGCAAACAAAAGTTGGAAGAAAATATATTTCACTATTTTTTACATACTTTTGAGGTAATATGTTTATAAAACAAGGCATTTAACAAATTAAAGTTTGAAATCTAGCGAAAATTGCAAATAATGGCAGAATCTGCAGCAGATAATTAAAATATCACATTTGGATTTGCTCATTTATTATTCGAATCGAATTAATATGACCTCTTCATGGTATATTGAAACTAGCCCTGCACAGTCATGCGTCAGAACCCCTATTGACGCTATTGATAGTAGTTCAGATCTGAGATGCGTCAATCGTGGGGGTCTAGTTTTCAAAAGTTGACAATACTCCGTCTAAATACCGCGACAAGTAACGTTTAGTGCATTCTCTTTCAATTCGTGGATGGCATTTCCATTTGAACAGCGTTAGGGATTGTGACTGAAGTACATGTAACGTTTAAGTTCAGGTTCATAAAGTGATATTAATATTGGCATTTGCAATATCCTATCGATAAGTGTCAAGAAGATGTTGGAGTGCGGAGGGGTGAGGGGAGGGGGATCAAAGATCAACCAAAATTTTCATTTGATTTGCTCTATTTAATTAAATGCTTTAGAATTACCTCCATGTGGTGCACACTGGGCGACGTATATTCATACGGCAAAAAGTCAATTATTCGGTAGTTGACATCTGAATTCAAACTACCATGGCCCCACTGTATGTCAAATTCCACCACTTAAACAGTAATCATCTTACCTTTTCTCTGCCTTTGGGTCAGTCTGTCTCTTCTACATCTGTGAATCACTCTTCTTACCCCACCCCACCCCCTCGAATTTTCCCAACTTTGTAGTGAGCTAAAGAGCTAATATTAACTATCAAAAACGCCTGCCATTTGAAATAAATGAATAAATCTTAAAGGCCCTTAAAGCAGGCTCTTTAAATCTGATGGTTATCAAATGTTCTGTGCAGTTGTGAAGACATTTCCCAAAAACGCATCACCTGTAAGCAGGTAGTACCATGAAGTCGTCTTGGTGATGAAACATCATCCAGCCAAGCACCGATTGGTCATTCCACTCTCATATGAGAGTATTTATTTATTTATATCAAATGGCGGGCGTTTTGATAGTTATCATTAGCCCTTTGGTTGACTTCAGGCTTCACAGAGGGGAAGGAACATCAAAATGAAAGAAAGTCGAGAGGGGGGGGAGGAACAGAAGAACGTTTCAGAGATGTAAAAGTGGCAGACACAAAGGTAGAAAAAAGGTGAGGTGAGTACTGTGAAATGATCGAATATGACATAGAGTGGGGTCATGGTAGTTTGAAGTCAGAAGTCAACTGCCAGTTAATAGACTTTTTGCCGTATGAGTATACGTTGGCCAGGGTGCACCACGTGGAGGTAAGTCTATCGCACACCCCCCCCCATATGAGAGTGAATTTCATTCAAGAAGAGTCCTCACATTTGGAAGCAACCCATCAATATGACGGTAGCCTTCCAGTGCGACTTTTTGTTGCAATTTTATTCAAAACACATGGAGTGGTCAACTACTTCACTTTTTAACTAAATTGCACGTTTCAATGATTTTCTTTCAGCTAGATAAGAATTCTAATTAAGTGTAAAAGCCACTGCATAAAAGTTCGCATAATAATGAAATCTGAAATTAAATCGCCATGATGCAGAAAGTACACACATCAGGCTTAATTTAAAAGCATTTAAAAA